TTCTTTTTTTATTTTCTCATGTTACAAGTAAAAACTCATATGAAAACAATTGAATTGATAGGATTTATATGTAGAAATTTTATATAGAATGATTTGACCTATTTACATCCATTCATTGGAAAACAAAAGGTTGATTGATAATTGCTTTCGTCACATTATTCTGTATGAGTTTTTTTGTATAATAATTTTATAAGCTTAGCATTTTCTTTATCTTAGTATGGGATTCTTACATATTTCAATTGTATTTTTCTTAATGACATTTAATGGAAATTGCTTCATCGATATTTATGGGCTTTTTATTTATTTATTTTATATAATGTAATTTAGATGGTTGGAATGAAGAGGCCATATCCTTTCCCTCCAGACAATCCACCAGGCCCCTCTGATAATCTATCAGGCCCCGCTTTCCCTTGCAAATTTCCACCCATCTTTGTTCCTCCCATCACTAGATCAGATGAATCAGCTTCATGTGGCAATGGAAGTACAGTTAATATCGAACACAACAACCCAATTTTCAGATCAGCTTTCTTTTGATGATTTGTTGTATATACATACTGTGGTCGTAGTTGTGTAATTCTTGTATACTGACATTGAATTAGCATCCTCTTCAAAGAAGGCCCTTCGAGCTCAACGATCTTGTGTGAGCTGATTCCAAAGTATTAATATATATATATATATATGGTAAATATTCCTAAATATATTAGATATTGATTTCTTAGATATATTTGGGAATAGTCATAGTTAGGTTTCTAGTAGAATAATTTTTCTCAGCTTATATATACAGGTCTTTATTGTATAGGATTAATTCATTAAATACAATACATATTATTTTCTCTCTTTCTCTATTATTCTAACATGGTATCAAAGCTATAGATTAAACTCTTGGTGTTTTTCACCTTACGGGCGGACAACAACCTTGGCTTGGCCGCCCGTCGGACCTCAACCCATGAAACTGCCATATTTTCCTTTCAGTATCACTTCGTGGTGATCTCTTCCTCTATTCGTTGGTCTATTCCTACCCCAAATATCATTTTTTTTTTACTCGTAACACTTTTTTTTTTTTTTTTCTTCCATTTGGCGCACTTCCTAAGCCGCCTCCTTTTGGCGCACTCTCTAAGTCGTCTCCTTGGCGCACTATACAAGCTGCACCCTCTGGCGCACAATCCAAGCCCCCTTGGGGCACTCAATCTTCTGTTGCCATCATCGTTCAGCACCACGTCATAAGTTATGTGTGTGTCACGCTTGTTGGTTCCGACATCCAATTCTCTACATCGGTCCGACATGAACCCTTTAAACTGTTCTGACATTGATTCTGGTTAGCTCCTACAACAGCCTAGCATGACCTTAAACTGTCTTAGCATTAGTTCTGGCCAGCTCCTACAACGGTCCGATATGACCTTAAACTGTCTCGACATTAGTTTCGGCCAATTCCTTCACTGGTCCAGCACGACCATAAACTGTCTCCCGGCATTACCTCCGGCCTCTAATTTATCTCAAGCGCCCTTGCGCTTCCCGTTCAAACTTTGCAATCTATTTGTTTTTTATTTTATTTAGTTTTATTTCATGTTTTAATTTTTCTCTCCAAACTCAAGATATTTATACTCTTTGAGTTTGAAGGGGGATGTTAAAATATATATAGTATATATTCCTAGATATATTAGGTATTGATTTCCTAGATATATTTGGGAATAACCATAGTTAGGTTTCTTATAAGATACTCTTTTTCATAGTTAAGTTTATAGTATGATACTTCTTCTCAGCCTATATATACAGGCCTTCTATTGTATAGAATTAATTCATTACATACAATACATATTATTTTCTCTCTTTTTCTATTCTAACACAAAGAAAGTGGTAAAAGAGAATGGCGATTTAAACGGAGATTTTCTCTCATTGGCTTCTCCTGCAACAGCTTTGCCCCAATCTAATTCAAAGTACAAGCACCCCTCATTGTTTCAAACCCCATATACCCAAGAATTATCAGAACTTCAATCTCTACCACATCAAGTGAGATTAAATAACAAAAATCCATTATCAATTTTTTTGATTCCTGATTTCATTCCAATCACATCATCTAATAGTTCACTTGCATTGTATTTTTCAGGGAAGTGCTGAAGACCCAATTCACCATCCCTGGCCCCAAAAACAGCCTTTATACAGCTTCTTTCCTCTGGCAAAGGCACGGATTGACCAAGCAACAACCACCATTAGCGGCTGCAATGGTGAAGTTGGTGAAAAACTTGACCTCTATCTGAAGTTGTAGGAGGGTTAGTCCATTTCTTCATGTTTTGGCAGGCCAATTGCTTTAGCCCATTGCTTGTGATGTTTTGGCAGGCTGTAGCTTTTTCTCTCAAACATGCTAGCATGCGGGTTTTTTTTTTTTAAATTCTTTTTAATCTAGTTTTTTTTATGTGTAAAAGTAGAGATATGAATATGGATATTGCATTATGTAAGCATGAAGCATGAAGATGACAGTGGGGAGAGATGCAATTGACTTGTTTTTATTTTGGGAGTTACAAATTTGATGCAAGGAAGTTTGGTTGTGAAGAGATAATGTTGGATATTGCATTATGTAAGCATGAAGCATGAAGATGCCAGTGGGGAGAGATGCAATTGACTTGTTTTTATTTTGGGAGTTACAAATTTGATGCAAGGAAGTTTGCGCACACTCTTGCACACAAAATGTTGTTGTCATGACAGCAAACTGATTTAGCTCCCAAGACGTGTTCACAACACATATATTAGGGACACATAGGTTGTAAATGAATCAAGTTTAGTAATAGCTTGTTCAACATAACTTGAAAACTTAATGAATTTCAAAATGTGTTCAATTTTTTCAAGTTAATCTTAAATGAGTTATAATTGAGTTTATTGCAAGCCAATTTAGACAGTTTAATTTTTTATAATGCATATAATTGAGTCGAGCCGAGTAACAAATTTTTCAAAGTTGACTTGAAAATTCACCACAAATTTTAAAAAGTGTTAAAATTTAACTTGATTTATTTACATAAGGAAACTGTCTCGTAACTCAAATTTTGTGGCTCAAAAGTGACTCAAATGGCCAAAACGACGTCGTTTTGGCCATTTTTATGTTGTTCTGTACTCAAAACGACGTCGTTTTGGCCATTTGAGCCACTTTTGAGCCACAAAATTTGAACTACGTAGCATTGTCGTTTACCTAATAAATTTATTTTTAACAAACATTTAAGAAGTCAAGCTCAAATAACTTGCATCTTGTACGCTGTCTTGTAACTCTAACTACACAACATTCTATGCACAATTTATGTTAAAATTATTTGTCTGTTGCATTGTTGGTTGTGCAACATTTTGTTTGGTTGTGGATGAGTCAAGCACACCCTTTGATTGATAAAAAGTTTTTGCACGTGGATTTTGGGAATCTCGTTACACTAGCAGATGAGTGATGAGAGCTATGGCTTACTGTGAGAGATTTGTTTGAGAGGGGAAGGATACATGCTTACATCATGAATTGCTTGATCCCCATAAGGATTTAGATAATAAAGTTCTATATAAATTCAACCATGATACAAACCCCCCACTATACCCTACCTCTATTATTCCACACACATGTATAAGTTAGTGATTAAAAAAAAAAAAAAAAAATTTGGCCAATAACCGCCCACTAGAGGTCTCCTCCAGTGGAGGTCCCAAACATTAGTGACATAAATTTTAGAATAAATTACAAATATACCTTTTGAAGTTTGCTTAAAATACAAATTGTCTATTGTGATATGAAAAAATATAAATACGTCCTTATTAGTATTTTTTATTTTACAGAATTAACTAAAAAAATGAAATCCATAATTGTTCTCCTATACAATAACAAAATTACCTAAATTATTAATGAAAACATATTTCTAACATCATTAAAAATTGTTAATTGACTTGATGATTTATTAGTATTAGGGATGATTTGTTATAAAATTAGAAATCTCAATGAGTAGAATGTAATTTCCAAAACTATAGGGAGCGATTCATATTTTTAATCAAATCTCGAGGATGTATTTGTAACTTACCCTAAATTTTATAATATTTTCAAATTTTTTTGGTTAATTAATGTGTCATACACTAACAAAACATTGATACTTGAAACAGGATTCACTATGAACATATTGTAAACGTCACACTAATTAATAAAAAAATATATACAAAATTTATTTGTATGACATTACTCTTTAAATATATATATATATATAGATGCTAATATCAACAAAATTCATGTGGGTGAAATGAGAATTATTTTTAAATTTTTTGCTTTTATCATACAATGATTCAGTTTCTCTTCAGTTATTGAGTTGTCTAACAGTTGACATGAGCCTAACCAAGTCCATGATAGTTAGAGGTGATTTAACCACAAAAGCATTTTCATCAAATCTTATGTGATAACTTACCATGTAATATTTAATTTTTCTAAAAAAAAAAAATTGTCATTTATCTAAGTAGTATTTGTCATTGCGCCTATGTATGTCATATTTGACATTAGCAAGATGTCAATTATTTATTTATTTAATTTTTTTTCTTTGTTTATGTAGGACCCATATTAAGAAGGTTTTGTCAAAATATATATTTATAAAAAAAATAAAAAAACAAACAAACAAATTGAAGTAAGAAAGGAATTTGCTTATTGACTAGTGTTTATTTTTAGAAATGTCAAATCACTAATCCTTCAAGTTAAAAAAAATAAAAATCTTAATTCTTTCAACTTTAAAATATAATATGTTCATATTGTTTTTTTTGGAAGCCATTATTACTGATTGAAGAGCTCCATAAAGAAAAGAAAAATAAAAATAAAAAAACCAAGAATTTGGCTTGAGAAATTCAATTTACCTTTTTTTTTTTCTCTCAATCACACATGACCTAATTTCTTAAGACTGTATTTGATTCATGAATTTGTGTAGCGATTTGAAAAGGAAAATAAAAAAAGTGTGAAAGATGTGTGAAATATCAAGCTAAATCCCTCACCAAACCCTTGAACTAACTCAATTCATAATCAAATTATCCAATTAAAATTCACACACATATAACAGACAAACTACAATATCAAGCTTGCACATGAATGATACACAAGATGGAATGCAACATCATCATGGCTTTCTATATATCCCGAAAATAGCCATGCCATAGTTCTAGACATTTCAAAGTCACTAATGTGACAAATACTCAGATTTACAAACTAACAGGGAAAAAAAAAAAAAAAACAGCAGATAAGTTTCAAAGGTAAGAAACCACGATTGATTACTCAATCGGCTGAAAGTACCAACCTCTATGAATCTCTCTATGACCAGCCAAGAACATAGTCAAGAACATACACGAGTGCCAGGGAGAACGGATAGAGGCAGAACGCCACTAAAGCTGTCCAAAGAGGGAAGGTGGTTCGGAAGCTAGCAAATGCACCCATCACGAGGCAAACAACTAAAATAACCAGAACTTCCGCTGAGAAGTCCCACGTCAATCCTCGGACATAAACCAAAGCTAAGAAAACCGACAAGCAAAGGACGTTGTTCATGGTTACTGCCCCATATAACTGCAACAGAAAAAACTCAGAGGTCACGGCATTCAACAACTTCAATTTACAAAAAAAAATTCATTTTTATCTATATCTATCATTCACTTCCAATAAATCATCTAATTTAAACTCTAAAATCAAAAACACAAAACAATTAAGATATATTTATACAATTGTTTCAATCTAAAACAAATACTGAATATATGGAGTTCTCAATTGTTTTCAAAGAGTCACACGACTTCTACCTAGTTTTGATGGAGCTTGAAGGCAGTTTTTCTCAATTTCAATATCTTAATTCAACATCAGCCACATTTACTAAATGAGCTATCTTTCGGGTATTATCTCTCTTTTTCTTTTATATGAAAATAGCTTTTTTGGTTTTCATATGAGGGTACACTATTACTACTTCATCAAAAAAAGAACTAAGAAAATGAAGTGTATAGACTGGGTGCAATTTGGATGTGTCCCACACCACCTAACTTCAAATTTATTTCACTTACTTCACTTTGTAGACACTTTTTCTAGACACGTAGTGTTTCTGATGGGGGAATTACATCCAGAATTAAAAGAGATTGTGAGTATGTTATGGGTGGGTGTGCAAAGTTTGAAGTGGGTGAGTTCGTTGCTTGAGATTTTTGGTATAGATATTCAAAATATGTAAACTTGGGTGTTCAAATTCTAAGGAGTACGCTATTACATATATACACACAAATAAAAACATAGTCAGAATATTCAATTGCATACCCTTCCCCTCATGTACTGCTGCCACTGATGGAATACAAATAAAAAAGGGAAAACAAACCTCGGAAAATGTTAATGAGGCTGATCTCATCCTTTTCCGGCTGGCAAAGATAATAGCCGATACTGCCTCGCTAGAGTTGGTAGCCAAAGGCAGCGCAATAAATGAGATGAAGAAAGATGGAATGCTTGTGGCATCGGAGAAATTATCAACAGCATCTACCAAAGGATCAGCAAATGCAGCTGCGATGACAGTCCCCACTACCAACATCAACACAGCTTTAAGAGAGGTCCACTTGGGATTTTCAACACCCTCTAAGACTTCGTCACTTTGATCCACACTTTGATCCCCGCTTTGATCCCCTAAAAGATAGTGTTCTCTCTTTGTTTGCTGTAAATGCATGAACATTAATGATATCATGATCTGAGAGCAGTACTAAAAGCTAGAGAAATTCAACATCGCACGAGATACCTTGTGGAAGTCATCAAGATATTTCATCGTGGCAGTACCAGCCTCACGAGAAGGAGCACCAGCCTGCTTCGCCTCATCAAGCCATTTTGAGATTCCATCGATGAACTCACGCAAATCAATTTTATAATCATTAGAAGTATCAAAATCGTTCATCACTTTCCTCACAGCATCATCCTGATCAAAGTTAATCTCATCAAGCCGCATTCCTAAGATCAAAGCTTTCAATTCAGGTTCTGAAACAAATCCATCCTTATCCCCGTCAATTGTGTGAAATAGCCTGCCAAAAATCCATTCAAGAGTCAGAAAATATGCGAGTCCAAGTCTAAAATTTGTGAGTCTGAAATCAGAATCTTCAGTGGGAAGTATAAAAGAAAACCAACTTTTCTACAATTTCAGTATTAAGCTCGCCATTGTCCTTGATGAACCTTCCCAGTGCACGCATCCTTAGATATTTCAGAAATCCTGATATTACATGCTTATGCTTCGCATAAGCAAGTCTTCTCCTCTGGATCCATGGCTGAAAAACCTATATATAGAGAAGGAAAGTTAAGCACAGATAGGGAAAACCCGAACAATTCAGTTAATAGGGAAGAAATTTAACCAGCTAACTGTTGGAACAATCTTCTGTGTAAAATAAAATAGACTGAAAATAAATCAAACAAAATAAAATAAATCTTACAGAATTTATTTCGTTGAACCGAATCAAAAATTTAAGACCAAGTCGAGTGTGTGACACTCTGTCCTTAAGACCACAATAAATTTTTATTGAAAAAATTCAAAAGAATTTTTTATCTAAAAATTAATGTTAAACCTGAAAACGACGTCATCTTCCCATTCACATATAAATGGTTTTGACGTTCCGTCTTCACCACTACACCTCTTCGGACCCACACCAATAGACGTTTGGGGTCCACCCAAAATGGGTTAACAAATATGCCTATATAAAACCATTTTTTCCAACACTAACTACAAGCAGGGATGGAACCCACTACTCAACACGACAAATAGGAGTTCACCATACCTTGGCGATTAAAGTCCAGGTGACAGGTGAGATAATATGGCCTCTGATAACAAGGTTTCCACTCTTTTGGAAGAGGAAAGCAAGGAAATTAAAACACCAAATGTAATCTATACACTTTCTGATGACTTAATTAACAAGAGGTTTTGCTCGCAACCAAGACAAGAGAGGCAAAAAAAAAGGCATTAGCATTACCCAACATTACATTTTCTCGAGTGAAGTATGGAAGGCAGTGTTACATGTGACTCTTCAATTCTCCTTGTTGGATTCGCATTATGACAAGGGTAAGGGAATGAAATATGTATCCATCACCCTACCCAAATTAGGTACTTAGATCTTCTTCTTCTAAATTTTAAACAATGTTTGAAGAAGAAAAAACTTGAATTTGATAGTAACGAAATAAGGAAATGGCTTCTCCTCAACTGGACCAGTTCACACCCGATACACATTTCCGAGTCCATGTAATAGCTATAACATGTTTACATTATCTAGTGCTGTTGTATTCTTGTATTGTTCAAATTTGTTCATGATATATGTACACAATAAAGTTAAACATACTTGCAATATTTATGTTTCAAAACTTTTTTAGACATGAGTTGAACAAATAAATGCCATAACCTAACTTTTTTTGTATCCATGTATTGTTTCAATTTATTCATGACAAAATAAATAAATGAACAAAAATATTGAGCATATTGCATGGGGCAGAAAGATCAATGCTGCATAGAAAATATATTTTACCTGATAAAGACAATATGAAATCAGCATACAGACAGAGACAATAAGTGCAATCAAGACTGCCAAGTGTCTTCCTGAAGTTGAATTCATAATTTGTGGTATCTGGACAACAAGAAATGGTATTACAGATATAGCCATGATCCTTGCAGCATAGCTAGTCCAGATGTCAGTAGTGACACCAGAACCTGCAAAGATGAGAGTAACTTATGTGGATTATGTAATCCATCAATAATCATTGGTCAAACATTCTATACTTAAACATTTTCTAACGGGGATGGCAACAATCCAAGAAAATGAACAAGTCAATGAGGCGTACGAAGTTAAACATGCATTTGATTATCAGTGATAATCTTATCACAATAGAAAGTACTATGATTATGGCATCCAACTGTAAACTGTCACCTAAATAAAATCAAAATAAAAAGCAAACAGCTAGAAGCACAAAAATTTATTTATTTTTTGGATAAGTGGAAAACAACAAGTACGATGATGATATCAAAAAAATCATAATTTATGTATTCATGTGCCATAACTTCACTTTAGGCATGCCAACATCACCCATGTGTTTTTGGCTACCGAGAGAGAGAGAGAGAGAGAGAAGCAATTCGAAGTCAGAAATAATAGTTTTTCTTCAAACAATACATGATTTTCGCACATAGGAAAGGAAAAAATGAGTAAGAAATTCCGTGGACATACTAGTTAAGCTAAATTTCTTTGTATCTTTTCCATCTATTGCAATTGAATCGTGCAGGTCACACTTGCCGACAATAACACAAGTTCCCCATATTACAGTTAGGAGCATGACTGTAGACCCAGCTAGCAAGCCCATTCCAACTGAGACCTGACTTTGAGCTGTTTCTGTAGTTCCAGAGAGTCCAGATACTGTAGAAAAACAATGGATTAGAATGGAAGCATTATAGAGACCAATCACAAAGCATACAATGTATATTGGATTTAATCAAAGAAACTTTGAAGCAGAAAAGACACAATTCAATGCAGGCCTTGCTGAAAACTAATCAACTGGTCAGTCCAAACTACAATCAGCCTGAGGAAACATTGGACATGAAGACTATGCGCACGCTTGACATTTTTTCTTCATTTTTAATTTGGAGACGGCATGCAAGACATTGATAAACGATTCATGGAAAAACCAAGAAGTCAAACTTAATGCTCCAGTAAGTTTCCTCTTTGAATACTCATAGATTGATTACTCCCTCTGGCATCTCAGGGGAAAAAACATGCAATTATGCATTCATGTTTTATAATCCCATATTGTGTGTGATACCATACCAGTAGAACATAATAAGGCTCACCATTTGTAAAAGATACACCAGCTGTATATCTAACATAGTCATCAACATCATCTACTCCCTGCATCCTCGACCTAGATTTTCCCTTCCACGGTATTCTCATGCCACATAACTAATTTAAAGTTCACAAACTAGCTTTATTAGCTAATTGAAACCTCTTGTATTCTAATGCTTGGCTTTATTTCATCCATCAAAAGAAAATTAGTTACAAAAAGTTTACCCGAAGACCAAATTTTCTAAATTGGAGAGAATCATAAAACTTCATCAACTAAATTGAGATATTGAAATACATTATACAAGGCAAATGAATAAGTTATACATATGAAGAAAAACTACGAAAAAAGTTTTGGGTAAGACTCAAACAAGATATTAAAGAAGACATTTGTTCCTAAAACCACATTTATTTGCAATGAACAAAAAAGTCAATAAAATCTAAATTAAATTGTTTTTCATTGTGTATGCACCAAATATAACATTGCCTTCTTATTAAATCCATGACAAGGAGAATAACGGCATGATTAAACAAAACATACAAAGGTAAGTTTGAAGCGATAAACTCCTAATCAAGATCAATTGAACTTAAATTTTGAAGAATTATTAGGTTAAAAGATGAACATATATATATTCATACATTGAAGAGGAGATCCACAATTACCATTAGTAATTTTCTAAATCCTGTATCTCTTAGCTTAAACAATTGTTAACAAGAGAACTGAAGCAATTATTTGCAACCAAATCAATATAATTACCAATTGACAGCACGAAAGACTTTAAAATTGTAAGTTCTGTCACCCCAAAAAAATATCATACTTTCCACAAACAAGTTGAAAAATAAAAAGAAGAATAAAACACAATTTAAATCAATTTTCATTTAGTAAGCATCTCAATTTCACCATGCTAAACATCACCACTTGAAAGGTTTCTATAAAACCAAATGGCAAAATGAAATAAAGAATTTTTTTTTTTTTTAAATGATCTAATTGCCATCCCCAGACCTTCATGTCTGTTCAATTGAGAAAATGTCCGTGCTTCAATTTTCAGGAGTAATGCTATATACATTATACAAACAAAAAATTCATTGGCTCATTGTGGACCTTTTACTTCAAAACAAAACACCATTAAACACATCATTCTTACCAAGTTTTTATAGGAATAAAGTTTTCCAATTTTCAGATTTCTATATGCACAGGGCTAAAAAAAAAAAATTGCAATATATTCTTCAAAAATTGAAAACAAATCCGATTTGAATCACAACAAATTTAAAACAAGGTTCATGATTTCCCAATAAACGGCAGGTAAAATTTTAAATCTAATATCAGGAACTTTCAACAGTAAAATAGAACACAAAAGCAAAACAACAGACACCATGTGTGCATAAAACTATTAAGCAAGACAAATTAAAATTTATAACCAACTATTTATCCCAAAAAAAAAAAATTATAACTAACTAACTAACTAACTACATCTTCTTAGAATCCTCAAACTTATAGGTGAGCTCGTTTTTATGTTTTCAAACATTTTTACGTTATTCAAGGAATTTCACATGTTTTTTTTTCCTTTTCGTTCATTTTCCAGGAAGCCAAAGAGGTAAAAATGGAGATCGAAACGAAGACAAATAATAATACCGAGAATAAGCATGGCATTGGGAAGAGCGCTATGTACCCAACTTTCAAAGGTATCTTATCTAATTTATGATTATCATAAATCACATGTCTCAATATTATGGAATTATTATAGGAGTCATAATAAAATAAAAAAATTAAGATATAACTAAATAATTTTCTAATTATAATTAAAATAATATAATAATTAACAATATATTAGGTCATAACTAAAGTTATAAAAATCATAATCAAAAATACATATTATAAGCATCCTAGAATTTATTTATATTATTATAAATAAAATAATATAAATAAAGATCATAACTCGCATTTGTATATATAAAATAAATAAATATATGAGTATTAAACTGAATATACATGTGTGTTGATGAAAGGTTTATCGATATCTGATTAATTTAATTTTTTATAAGTATATTCTACTTAATATTATTTAAAAATTGAACGGTTTAGATTATTAAAATAAAGTCCAAAATAATTCTCACGAGCCGCACAACAGTGAATCCAACTCCATTAAAATAAGCGATGGGTTTTCTTTCAATCCAAAACATGAATTGAAAAGTGTTGTCTTAGTTCGTAGAGGATCATTATGGATCTTATTTTAATAATTTGAATGGTTTATTTTATAATGTATTTTGTGTATATTAGCCACACACAAAAATTAAGTCAATCACATAATCATAATATGTTTAATTTGTTGTATTTGTATCCCAAAAAATGAATAACAAATGTGTTTTTATAAATATAAATTTTTTTTTGAATAACAAAACATGATAAATTGAATATGCTACTATTATCGGATCGATATAATTTTTTTGTGAATAATATGAACGATATATATGAAAAATCTTACAAATAAATGGTTGAGATTATTAACTTTAAATTCTTTAAATTTGATTCATACCAAATCTTTGAAATAACTTACGAAATAAAATTTTAAAATTGATAATACTTTTATTTTATAATTATTAGTCTTTTTTTTTTTTATCATATAAGATGTTACACAACTCTTAAGTCAAATGCTCTGATTTTGTTAATTATTAGTCTAATCAATAAGTTTACTTTTTTTTTTTTATGGAAACACTATGGTACACATCTTTCAAATAGTGAGCCATATGTACCCTATAACTAAAGAAGAAAATGACATAATTTTATATTTTTTGAATCATAACTATAAATAAAATGAAATTTAAAAAAAAATTGTCATAAATAAACATAACATGAAAAATAACTAAAGATTTTATAAGCCATAACTAAAATAATATCATAATTAAAGAAAAAAATGACATCATAATTAAAGAAAAAAATGGCATAATAAGGGGTGCATATGGTACCCCTAAAAAGGAAGTGTATATTAAAATTTTCTTTTTTTTATTAATATTTTAAAAAACAACATAAAATTTATCATGATAGAAGCAAATGCATTTACTAATATTGAAAATATGATAATAAAAAAAAAACTATTTTAAAAAATAAAAATGATTAAAAAGCATTCAAATTGTATAAAAATATTTTGAATTTATTGATGGATATGTCCTGATCTATTTATTTTTTTGTCTTATTTTATATCATAAAAATTTATTGATAAATAATATAAAATATTCTTAACACTTCAATTTTTCTTTTCCCAGAGTTGACTATGCTGCGCCTGCCAAGTTTGTTTTTTTTCGGTTAATAACGATTTTTATAAATAATATCATAATTAAAGAAAAAAATGACATCATAATTAAAGAAAAAAATGACATAATAAGGGGTGCATATGGTACCCCTAAAAAGGAAGTGTATATTAAAATTTTCTTTTTTTTATTAATATTTTAAAAGACAACATAAAATTTATCATGATAGAAGCAAATGCATTTACTAATATTGAAAATATGATAATAAAAAAAAAACTATTTTAAAAAATAAAAATGATTAAAAAGCATTCAAATTGTATAAAAATATTTTGAATTTATTGATGGATATGTCCTGATCTATTTATTTTTTTGTCTTATTTTATATCATAAAAATTTATTGATAAATAATATAAAATATTCTTAACACTTCAATTTTTCTTTTCCCAGAGTTGACTATGCTGCGCCTGCCAAGTTTGTTTTTTTTCGGTTAATAACGATTTTTATAGGAAAATGTGTACCTTTCGACAAAAAAAAGAAAAAAAAAAAAGAAAAAAAAGGGTCTATCCAACGTGCGACTGTGTTGACATTTTTATATCTATTTAAAATGGGCAGATTATCCCTTCGGAACATCTGATGAAAGGAGATTTATTAGGCTTCGTTTGAGTAGTCATGGTTTAGATTTTTTTGGTTAATTTAGTCACAAAAAATAAAATAAGTTATTTTAATTATAACAAACAAAACATCACATTTAACCCATAATCATTACATTTTTTTCTCACAAAAAAATTCAAAAAAGCCAAAAAGCTCTTCCCAAACCAGGCTTTTAAGCCCAGGGTAAAATATTCAAAAAAGTCAAAAAGCCAAAAAACCAACCCACTTCCCAAACGGAGGCTTAGAAATTATTTTTTAATATTTATATTTTAATTAATTTATAATATATTTTTATTATTTAAATATTTGATACATCAAATTTTAATTCTATATTTTATGAATAATTTAATCTTTATAAATATTTGTTAAACGTTTAGCAAATTTAATGATATGAGCATTCATATTTTACATTATGGTGCTTTGAGAAGTTGGTAAAAAATTAATTTTTTAATTTTTTTAGTGACTTTTTTGACAAAAAATTGAGTTATTTTGGGTAAAAAAATTGACTTTTTTGACTAAAAAACTGAAAAGTCAAAAAGCTGACTTTTTACTGATGTTCCCAGAAGAGCTCACGTAGCAAAACATTGGCACTATCAATTTAAATATTATTATTAAGAATATTTTGATAGAGGTTTGGAGTGTCCTAAATAAGTGTACTTTTTGTCTTTTTGAACTGAAAAATT